GGCTTGTTCTTTTTTTTTTTTTTTTTTTTTTTTTTTTAAAAAAAATTTTTTTTTTTTTTTTTTTTTTTTTTTTTTTTTTAAAAAAAAAAAAAAAAAGAAAGAAAGAAAGAAAGATTAGGACGAGTCATATACTCCACAATGTAGTTATAGCATGGGAGGATAGGATGAATCGGCGCCCCTAGTACACAATGGGAACGTATAATAGTACTAGTATGGATTACTACCACTACTAGTAGTTTCTTAACTACTAATTAGGAGTAACTGGGTAGCGAAATGCGTATTTCGTATTGTACGGCTATGTACGCTGTCCGGAGTACCAGGGGCAGGAACGGGCCTGGATCCACTCGGAGGAGCGGCTGGGTAGTAAGTACCAGTACCTTTCAGACTTTTGGACTGTCCAGTTCCTGCTAGGGGAGGAGCCGCGGGCGCGGAGCCGTTCAGATTGGTACACCCACCAAGAATCCGTGAGCGGGTCGAGGCTACTAGTAGTACTTTACTAAGGGCGCTCACTTACTGGCAAGTGGCGTGCTGCCGTTTTTCTCTCTTGCTTGTACTTACCCAAAAGTGCACTTTCCTGCGCTGTTGCAAGCAGTTCACATATTTGTCGCGCTTCCACGCCAAGGGCTAGGAAGGTGCCTTCGCTTGAATCATTCTTCCTTGTGAACACAACCAACTCACTCCAATTGTCTGTTCCGGTCATTCTGTTCCCGCTGTTGTCCCATCATGGGCCTGCTCGCGGTCGTTCTCGACAGCCTCTGCGAGCGCTGCTCGAACACGTCAATTCTAGTACTCCTGGGGATTGGACTGTCATCCCTGCTGGCTGTCTCCGTCATTCTCAATGTCCTAAGACAGTTGTTATTCAAGAACCCCAATGAGCCCCCTTTGGTGTTTCACTGGTTTCCATTCATAGGTAGCACAATTAGCTATGGCATGGATCCTTATAAATTCTTCTTCGACTGTCGCGCAAAGGTATGGACCAGTAATATGAAAGTATCGATCTTTTGTTTTTGTGCTGACTCATGTCTACCTACAGTACGGCGATATCTTCACCTTCATTCTCCTCGGCAAAAAGACAACAGTGTATCTGGGAACCAGGGGCAACGATTTCATTCTAAACGGAAAGCTACGTGATGTCTGTGCTGAAGAAGTCTACTCCCCACTTACAACCCCTGTCTTTGGGCGTAACGTGGTATATGATTGTCCCAATGCCAAACTTATGGAGCAGAAGAAGGTGAGCTTGAGCATGGAAAGAGTATTGACACGTATACTAATGATTGTAGTTTGTCAAATTCGGTCTCACATCAGATGCCCTGCGTTCATACGTTCGTTTGATCACCAACGAGGTAGATGACTTTGTCGAGCATTCTGCGGCTTTCCAGGGATCAAGTGGCGTTTTTGACGTCTGCAAAACCATCGCAGAGATTACCATCTACACTGCGTCACGTTCTCTTCAAGGAAAGGAAGTCCGGAGTCGGTTTGATTCTACTTTCGCCGAATTATACCATGATCTTGACATGGGGTTTGCTCCTATCAACTTCATGCTCCCTTGGGCACCCCTTCCTCACAACCGGAAACGTGATGCTGCACAGAAAAAGATGACCGAAACTTATATGGAGATTGTCAAAGAACGCCGTACGGGTGGAAACAAGAAGGATTCTGAGGATATGGTCTGGAACCTCATGTCCTGCGTATACAAAGATGGCACTCCTGTTCCAGACGAGGAAATCGCACACATGATGATTGCCTTGCTTATGGCTGGCCAGCATTCTTCTTCATCGACAGCTTCATGGATAGTCTTGCACCTTGCAAGAAATCCAGAAATCATGGAAGAGTTATATGCCGAACAGATCCGTGTGCTTGGGTCAGATCTTCCACCTCTTACTTATGAAAATTTGCAGAAGCTTGACTTGCACGCTAAGGTCATCAAAGAGACACTACGAATTCACGCGCCGATCCATTCAATCATCCGCGCAGTCAAAAACCCAATGCCTGTGGATGGCACGCCATATGTCATCCCAACCAGTCACAATGTCCTTTCATCGCCTGGTGTTACCGCAAGATCAGAGGAATATTTCCCTAACCCTCTCAAATGGGATCCTCACCGCTGGGATGAGACTATTGCAGCCAATGCGGAAGAAGAAGATCAAATTGATTATGGATATGGTCTTGTCAGCAAAGGCACTAATAGCCCCTACCTTCCATTCGGTGCAGGACGTCACAGATGCATTGGTGAGCAATTCGCCTACGTGCAACTTGGTGCAATTACCGCGGCTTTGGTCAGGTTATTCAAATTCCGCAACCTGCCAAACGTCAAGGATATCCCGGAAACAGACTACTCGGTAAGTCACGCTATCTTCAAAGCGATCATGTGTCGACCTTTCTGGCTACGATTGACAAGGCTGACCAATTCTAGTCTCTCTTCTCCAAGCCTGCTGGCAAGTCTATCATTCAATTTGAGAAGCGCGCTACCACCGTTAAATCATAACGACCTGCCTCTGTTACTGCATAGAAACCGCCTTTTGTGATTGTTCTCAAACCTCTTATGTAATATGATGGAAATGACTGGATAACAGTCTTTCATGGGATTGTTTTTATTTTGTTTCTCCCTTGGGGCTTTAATGGCCGGTTTTTTCTCATGTAATGGCTGCTTGTACAGTACTTCAATCCAATGTCTTGATCTAGGGTTGACTATGAGTGAGGATTGTATTTTGGGTACGCGATTTGCTCGCATTTGAAGAGGCCTTAATGTATCTATAGCCAATCTAATTGTCCCATACAGGCGTCATATGGGACAGCCATTCTACCACAAATATATTACTTTTCCTGAACGCAATGGAAAACAGTGTCAATAACCGGAATAACCGTTAATCTATGAAATATAATACATGTGACATGACTGCAATATAAGCGCACTTTAAGATACAACAGAGGTGGGAAAGACAAGTATGTGTGTGTTCTGTGTCGTAGTCCTTAGTTTCCCTTCTTCCTCTCTTCGCTTCGCTTCTTAGCCCGAACTTCAGCACGTCTCCTTTCACCACCGTCCACTTTGTGACCGAGCTTGTCCTCCCACATGCCCTCCTCGACTTTAATTAGGGCTGCACTACCATTTGTTCCTTTGATCGGTTGAAGATACGGGCCGCTGATAGCAGAACCGGCAGTGATTTTCATGCGCGCAAACTTCTTGAGGGGTTTCGTGGGATCATGGGTGTATTCAGAAGCATCCGGCGGAATGTTGACAATGACTCTTTTCATCCCTGGAGATAAAGTGGCCGAGGAATTCAAAGGGTGCGATGTTTCCTTGTTCAGTGTCGGAACTTCAACAACTCGAAGCTGCGCAACGCCATCGACCACGTTCTCCAGGTCTCCACCGGGCCCATAGATCCCCTGCCTGAACTTGTCCATCTTGCGAAGCAGGTAGCGTCGCTGGCGTGCTGGCTCAATGCCTAGATCCCGAAGTTCAGAGGAACTGGAAGTGAATAGCTTATCCCAGGAAGGTAGCTTGCTCGCATGCTTGTGCATCCCACGACCGATCAACTTAAGAAAGGTCTCGACATCAGGAACAAAGGGAGTGGGTGACGGCGGAGAAGGGGCGCCCGTGTTCTTATGGAAACTTCGTATGAACTGTTTGCTTATCGTCAAGGATCTCATCACTTGCAAGGACAAGCGGTGCGAGCTGCACGTCGCCATTTTGTCGTCGGGGTTTCTTCAGGACAACCGATGCGGTCTCGGAGATGTTGATTGAAAACTGTCGACAATTCTTTGAAAGACACGAGATCTGGGAGGGTACGGAATTGAAAAAACAAAATCGGGCCCCTTCCCCGTCGCTGATAATCGTCCGGATTTGGTAGCGTAGTTAAGAGTTAGATGCCTTCGCTGTCGGTCCCGACCATCCTGGAGAAAAGTTCGGCGGGATGCGCAGTTCCGGGGCAAGTCCCGGGATCAACAAAACTCCGAACTTTGATCCTAGCTTCATATATACTCAAGGCAACTTGTGCCATACCTTGCCAACCAGACCGACATTATTGGCTGTTAACTTTCACTGCCCATCAATCTTCACTCCCTGGCATGCTGCTACTGCTGCGTCGGTGATACTAATCATTCTCTCCCTATCCATTGGGTTTGAGGGCATATAAGCAGACGATGGCGGTTTCGCCTTTGGTCCCTCACGCTTCATCAGTTGCAGCTTTAAGCTCAAATGCAGGCAATAAGTTCGAGAATGACTCTGGCACCAACTCACCTAACAAGACGAAGCGCTCATCGTCGCCCCAGCGCATGAAGAACCCTGACCGTGAGATCACGGAGCAACTTAACGACGATGTGAGGCACAAGTACATAAAAGGTACTGAACCCCCATCACTTGCCTTAATTCCATTGTCAATCATATCCTATCATTTCCATAATTCTTTCCCTTACTATCTCAGTAGTGCCAGCGATACGATACTAATTATGGCCAAATCACAGATAAGAAGTTGGGTGAGGGAACTTATGCTGTAGTGTTTCTCGGACACCTCCGCACCGACCCATCGTCATTTGTTGCAATAAAGAAGATCAAGGTCAATGCTGAATACAAGGATGGGCTTTCTATGGACGCTATCCGAGAGGTAAAATATCTCCAAGAGCTTTCTCATCCAAATATAATCGCACTCCACGATGTGTTCTCGTCCAAGGATCAAAACCTAAATCTGGTCCTCGAATACCTGCCACGCGGTGATCTTGAGATGCTCATCAGGGATAGCAATATTCATTACGGTGCCGCCGATGTTAAAGCCTGGATGGGCATGCTTGCTAGGGGTGTTTGGTTCTGTCACGAAAATTACATCCTGCACCGAGATATCAAACCAAACAATCTTCTAGTCGCCGCTGACGGCGAGGTCAAGCTGGCAGATTTCGGTTTGGCCAGGTCCTTCGCCGACCCATACTTGAATATGACACACCAGGTGATCACACGCTGGTATCGACCCCCCGAGCTGCTTTTCGGTGCGCGACAGTATTCTGGAGCTGTCGACGTTTGGTCCATGGGAATGGTTTTTGCTGAACTCCTTCTACGGGTTCCATTTGTCGCAGGGAATTCAGACTTGGATCAAATCTCCAAGATTTGCGAAGCCTTCGGGACACCAACTGAGGAGAACTGGCCAGGCGTGACTAGATTGCCAAATTACATACCTGCCGATCCGAATCATATTGTGCCTTTACAAGGTCGAGATTTCTTTCTCCGGCAGTTTCCCACGGCTGGGCCTGTTGGGGCAGATTTGCTCATGTCGATGTGTACCCTGGACCCCAGAAAACGAGGCACCGCCTGCCAAATCCTACAACACGGCTGGTGGCTTGCTGAACCGAAGCCAACTAAGAAACAAGATCTTCCTAGAAAAGTTGGCGGAACCAAAAAGATGGGCGATGATTTAACGAGGCGAGGTGGGGAGCTTGACGATACTTCCTTTAAAAATGCCGCTCGACAATTGGATTTTGGCGCGGCAAGGGACTGATAAACGCATGTGCGTCTTCTCTTCCCAGTCGCACACGGTCATACTTGCATTTTCCTGGTACCTTAGTATACTGTGCCATACCATTGGTCAAAGATCAGAAGGTTCGGGGAAAATTTAACATAAGTTCATCGGGAATTCTGAGTTATACAGAGTTCAAGGATGAGCAACAATATATGTCAGGTATCCTCAGGCATATAGAAATACATCCGACGCAGAAGAAGGGCTGATCTCCCACAGTGTCGACCTGTGCCACACCATCAAGGAAGGGACATGGCAATCGGCCCATCATTGGTGAACTTCATCTCTTGAGATAAGACCCGCGCTCATCGACAGTGTGGATTGCGCCCAGATATGCGGGTGAGATTAGCGACAAAGTAACTGAGTGATTATCGCAAATCGATGCGGACTCAATCAAGAGTTGCAAGTTCAGCAGAAAGTTGTTGTCGAATTAACACCAGCCGCTCAATGGTTCGCGGATTCGTGTGATCGTCAATACCTTAACAGTTGTGGAGTCGGAACCATCATGACTCGAAAGGGTCAGCTGTATTATTCCACATCGTTCTCAGACAAGTAGAAATCTCCCAGATTTCTTGTGTGCATGTGTTCGTCCAACGGGCTCTGTGGCTAGAAGGGTTGACGCTTGTGTATGCTGTTTTCTTGGCATCTTATGTGCGGAAACGCAAGCAGGATCGCTCAGTAGCAGGGATCGACATTGATACCTTCATGGAGAAATTGATCGACAAAGCCCACCCCCTATCGTGGGCACATAAGTGTTCTGTACTGCACACTGCATCTGATGGAAATTATTATATCCTGCAGGACACATGTAAATATTATTCAGCCGCCTTTGGATCGGGCAAGGAAATTAGCCACCTCATTCTTTCGAGACAAGTATTTGAAGGGAATATAGGGCAGTATTAATAAATAATATGAAGTGAAATGCGTTTTGGTCAGTGGATGGCTGCTACAAATGATAAAGACCCCAAAGCCCCTTACGGAGGTTTAATTAAACATTAAAAGAGGGCCTCCGTCTGTTAGCGTCTGGTCCCTCCTACAGAATTCCCACTTGAGAGGGGTTTTAAAAATGAGACAGCAACTGATGCTCGATCTCCTTTACCAGCTAGGTACACAGCACAGACATTGTACTTCTATTCGCACTGTCACTGCTTAACTTCGAGATGACAGAGGAGTGCCTCATCCGATAATATTACCCTTTAGGAATTCAGGAACCGTGTTGCGGAATAATCACTGAAAACAATTCAATGGGAAGGTGATTGTTTCATTGCGCTAAGTATGTCCAAATTTGTGGTGTTGAAAGAAAGTACTTAGAACTGCCGCATATACATTTACGTAGAGATGGAGTTCCAAACTGCACATCTGGGCAACACATCTCCTTTAGTTTGTTTTTGGTGTGACACTGGTACTGGATGGGTATTGATGTCGAATACAACAGTATGGTTTACCAGGGAAATTTTCGAATTAATCTTAAGATACTTGAGCCCTAGCACTAGATAAAACATCGTCCGGTAATTGAGTTTCTCCTAAAAACCCCCATCCGAGTGCCTGCCTACCTTGGGTATAGATCTCTAACTTACTGTAAGTTTCCAGGTAGTACCGTATAGGAGGTATCCTATGCAAAGTTCCCGCATATTTTTGTTGGATCCCTGATTAGCTTAGTTTTTTGGCCGGTCTCTCAGGCTCCAGAAAGGTCCACCGTCCGAGAGGGTTAAACTGCACCACATAGGGGTGTATGCTGGGGTTACATGCTATACGGTACCGGTGGAAGCAACAGTCAACTCATTGGTGCCGGTAATGATTTCAACTACTACCAGCATCATCACACTGTACGACGGTATAGTATAAGTAGTAAACGAATTAAAAAAAAAAAAATTAGTTATCTTGCTCTAACCAGGAAGTGGGTGAGTTGCTACTACGCCCCTCATAACCTGACTCCCGGCCTTTTACCCGTCCCGTGCGGCACTAAAGATTGAAAGGACCAACCCTTGGAGCCTCCTTCAACCCAACGCCTCGCGTTCGAGGCGGATTGCGGCGTACGGGGTATCCTGCCTATCTGGAGCGATTGATTACTTGTCTAGCCATTCTTTGGGTCATGTCTGATTTGCACACAGGCCCTCTTCTCAAGTATTAACGTTCCCGATCAGCGCCCCCTCTTCAAACACCATCCATCACTTGGCAGTGCCGGTCTCCAGTTCGCTGTTGTCGTAATAAGAAACAAGCCTGTTCAAACCTGCCAGGGCTGAAACGGGATAATTGACGTCGGCCCATAACCTACACACGTGCCCAACGCTGCAAGAGACCCAGCCAGCAAGGGCTTTCGGACACATCTGTGTCGTGCGCAAAGGTTGGCGCTTGTTTACGTTACAGTCCCCTTATCTCAGCCCGCAACATCCTACTAGTCTTGGGACGATTTGCGGAAACGTCCGACTTGAGAATCGGCCTTCGACAGACGGAACTGCCTCATACCAAATCAAGGTGAGTCTGGATAGCTCGGACCTTGACAGCCGAGTATACCTGTTATCGTTCTACTGCCCCCCTGTCTCTTCACATATTAAACAAGCTCCTTTCCACAGAGGCACAAACGCGTAACAAAGTGTTGCACTCCAATCTGAAAGCCAGTCATCTGGTGATGTTGTTGCATGTTTTGATAGCCTCTTATTGCCAAGTCTAACAGGTTCATATCTTCTAATATAGGCGCGAATTCGGACTTTAACTGGACACATACGGATGGCCGCCGCAAGAAACACCGATTGATAAGTCCATGTGCCAACACCGCATGGTATAATAAGCCTCATATAACAGACAGTCACTTGAGAATGTCGACCTTACCGCCATCGTCGCGGACGGCCTCTAACTCTTCGGCTGGGCCCTGTCCTCAGTTTCCAGCTCCTAGGTCACGGAAAAGCCTTCCTGTTGCATCTGACACGTCAAGGGCGCCGTCCCCATCCCAAACGTCCCTAAAGACGCGCACCCCTTCTAGCCCTAGAGCAAGTCTAGGACGACACCTCCTGTCTAACTCGATGACCAATACTAGCACATCGCGGACCGTTGCCGGTAGCCGGGTTCCGAGTAGCCCCGATAAATCGCTGCGACGAACCATCAGCATTGCAGCTTTTCCTCAGCCACCTAGGTCAGGAAGCCGCCCTTCTACTGCGTCTTCAATATCGGGAATACAGGGCGTCCATCCATCTGGGAGTGTAAAGGCCAGGAAAAGCTCGAGACTAAGTACTGGAACCACCAGTAGTTACCGGAGTTCTAAAACCGCATCGTTGCTGAGTGGCGCTGGGGATGCGAAATCCATTTCGACTACTGAAGCCCGAGATGGGGAAGGCTCCCCTTCACAAAGCAGGAGCTCATCTGCGCAAGGATCTTACTCAACTAGTGCAACTACGTTTGAAGATGCCGATGAAGGCGTACCAAAGTCAAACTCGAGGCCGAAAGAGACAAAGGGAAATGTCATCGTGAGCGTCCGAGTACGCCCTGATGTGAATGGTGCCGAAACCGCAAAGACCCCTGAATGGTCAATAGATGGGAGGCACGGCCTCATCTCTTATAACGGAAAGGAGGGCGGCGATTATTCGTTTGGTAAGGATATCCTTCGTATTCTCTTTGAACACAGCAAGGTAAACGTGGCTTACGCTTCTCTATTTCCTCGTTAGATAACGTGTTCTCCCCTCATGAACATAACGCGAAGATTTACGACTCTGCAGCGAAACGTCTAGTGAGGCGGGTAATGGAAGGATATCATGGTACAGTCTTCGCTTACGGCATGACTGGTACTGGCAAGACGTTTTCCATGCAAGGAACTGCAACCTCCCCGGGAGTGATACCGTTGGCAATAACAGACATATTCTCCTTCATTAGGGAAACACCACATCGAGAGTTCTTGTTGCGTGTCAGCTATCTGGAGATATACAATGAGAAAATTCACGATCTGCTGTCAGCCTCGGTATCTGGCGGAACCGCTGCCCCTCAACAGGAGGAAATCAAGCTCCGCGAAGACAGCAAACGTGGTGTATATGCCACGCCACTGAAAGAAGAGATTGTTCAAAGCCCGACACAGCTTCTCCGTGTGATCGCGAGGGGCGACCATGCTAGGCGGACCGGTAGCACGCAGTTTAACGCTCGCAGCTCTCGAAGTCACGCGGTTGTTCAAATTGTTGTCGAGAGCAGGGAACGAGTGCCTGCCGGAGCTTCTCAAGATAGACGGTCAGGCTTGGTCCCAGGTGGAGTCCGAGTGTCAACGTTGAGTCTAATCGATCTTGCTGGTTCAGAGCGCGCCGCTGAGGACAAGGAACGGCGTACGGAAGGTGCCCATATTAACAAAAGCTTGCTTACTTTGGGAACTATTATCTCTAAACTATCGGAGGCAAGAGATAAGACCGGCAACCCAACTGATAAAGAGGGGAAACACCTTCCATATCGGGACAGCAAACTCACGAGATTACTGCAGCCTGCTTTGTCAGGGAACTCACTGGTCAGTATTCTTTGCACGGTTCAGCTAGGAGGGACAGCCAAGTCTCATTCCGGCGAAACGCTCAACACCTTGAAGTTCGCAGCTCGGGCCAAGAACAGCATTGTCAGCCATGCTAAACGCGCGGAGGAAGCATTTGGTAGTGGTGGAGGTGATGCTGGAAGCAGAGTTCTCCTGGAGCGGTACCGTATGGAGATTCAGACGCTCCGTAACCAGTTAGAGAGTCAGACCAAGGCCCAAGCTGAGAAGGAGCTGAAGCTGGAAGAGCAGCAGCTCGAAAAAGAAGCACAGGCACGCCACGAAGAGCAAATGCTTGAAATGCAACTGGCTCGGACGGCATTAAAGGAAAGGATCGAGCATTTGAATCGTTTGATTCTATGTTCAAAGTCTACTGGTGTAAATACCTATGGAAGCATATCCGCTCTTGGTCGCCTTTCAAGGATGTCGGCTACCGAAACTGGATCTCGATCCTTGCGTTCGTCACTCAGCCAGTCTACATTAGGAGCATATGGGCACTCGTCGCTCCGACCAGTCTCCTTTCTTTCTATTAACAGCAGTGATTACCCCGGTAATCAACCGTTCTCAAATGGTCATCTTGGGAATGAAGATGAGGATGATTTTATTGGCGAATTTGCGGATGGAAAAGCAAGCGCCCAAAGACAAATCGCAGCCCTTCAGGCCGACCTTAACGACAAGAATCGCTATATCTCTACGCTAGAGCGGCGGCTTCTGCAAGCACGACGGTCCAGTCATTCCCGCATGTCCATAGGTGTGAAGGCTGGAGGCACTACTTCTGACGCCCCTGATGTACTAGCTCTTTTACGGGAGAAAGACATGGAGATCAATGAGCTTCGTCTACAACTAGACGATAAGGACCGGATGCTTGCTGCCCTTCGTTCTGCTGCTCGACACCGAGATCTTGCCCATTCAGCAGCCGACTCCTTCGTGTCAGACACAAAAGAAAGACCCGGGCGTCTGGAACATCAACCCGATGGCGATGACTCGGCTGCTTATGACTCGGCCGTTGGTCTCTGTTCACCACTCAAAGAGGAAGAAACGGAAGAAAAGAGGCGTGGCATGGACGACGTGTCACGCATTTTGGACGAGATGTTACAGGACCGCCTTGAGAGTGGGCACCTCATCAAGGGCTCTCGTGGGAGTGTTCGCGTTGCCGCAGAAAGTCGGCGGGCATCTGAATCCATGACCGGTTTGCCAGGGTTGAGCACGGGCACTACGGATTTGGCAAGCTCTGGCTGAGGCCAGCAATCTTGAATTACGTCCTCTGTTCTCAATTTGGCCCGTCTTTTCGCGGGACACTCTTTCCTCTTCACGTTTATTATAATTCTGCTCAGGGCAGGCAGTATGCCTGTGGTTTGACTGCCTTTCCGCCACGCGCCATTCAGCACACAATCTTTGGCTCTTGGTTCTCACCTCTTCCGCCTTGCCTTACCTCGCACCCTCTTTGTTGTCATTCCACGTTTCTTTCTATAATACCCTTTTTTGTGTGGACTGATCTAGATACCCGGTTTCCCTTGCTCTTTTCTGGCTTCGTCTTGTGCTTCCTTTTCATCCATTTCTCTGTCTTAATATTCCTGTTACGCTTGCCTGGTGGTAGGCATGTTGATTGGTAATGACATAATGAAAATACGTTGAGAGGGTAGAAGGACATAATCATTCCTTTCCAAACCTTTATTCCCATTGGTCTGTAGTGGAGAATTCTAATCCGGTCCCTAGGAGGTTCCGCCTGGACATATATTCCTTGAGAAGTGTTGGTCGGGACCGTGTGATAGCAACCAATAGTAGTCATTGTATCGTGGAATGGGAATGGTGACTTGGGATCTTTGTTTCATGAATCTGGTTCTAGGTGGATTAGGTCTAACTGTTGGAATGTACCTGGGCCTTTAGTTGAACAGGTGCTGATACAGCTAGTTGACTTTTGTGGTCAAGCATACCTTTCCTGCCAACGGACTTCTCTGCGGCAGGAGTAATAGTAGGGTGTATCCAGCATGCAATCATGCGGTATTTAGATAAATACTATAGCAAAACACTGCTGCTCGGCATGTAAGTAAAATGAACAGCCTAGTACTGATATTTTAAGATTTGGTGCATTCCAACTGAGTAAAACCCTGCAGGATAGGACCTAGACAGGTCTAGACGGGTACACGTTTGGAGCCCTCTGGTTTCTAACAATATATATATAGCACTGGCCCCAGAGCTAACTCAAAATCTGACTACTCTATGTAAATATACGTCAAATGATCAATAGTAATCGCATTTTTATACCTCCCATAATGATAATAATAATAATAATAATAATAATAATAGATATAGTCAGACCTTGAGCCTAATTCCGTTCTCACCTGAAACCTTATGTGCCTAATAACCTAAATATCTAGACACAAGTATATATAAGCATATGTATAAAGATAGAGATACAGAACAAACCCCCTCCTTTGTCTCCGATAAATTTCACTGTTAGCGTTCGTCAAGCAACGATTTCGATCTCCGATGTCCTATCCTTTGCATATTTATCTTTCCACTCTTCCCATATTCTTTCTAATTCCTGCACGTACAAGGAATGGAGATGGTTTATATAATCATCGTCGATCTTCCCCCTATCACGCTGCTGCACAACATGGATTGGACGACCGACAACAATGTTGAGTGGCCGACGATATGGCATCAAACCGACGTCATAGTTGAACACGCCACGGGCATGGAATAACGGGATAGTGAAACCCAATGTGTGTTTGACCAGCATCTGCAATTTGTGTATAAGAGGATGGTTTTCAGAGCGCACTTGTTCATAGAGATCATTTTCACCAAAGGCCAGTACAGGCACAAGATCGGCGCCAGTGTGAATTGCCAGTTTGATAAAACCTTTACGCCTCTTGAGTACAAGGCGCAGTGTATGCGGAAGAGCATCAAGAGACTCGCGAGCACCACCTATGACGATAGTTATAGCACGTCCCATTCCTTCCCCATCAATGCCGCCCTTTGATAGCAGGTTCTCGCATGACTCGCGCGAGACACTGGCAATCCCCATGCCTAGCGCATATTCCCTGTAGAAGGGAATTCGGAAATTTGAATCAAGCGTAAGCAAGGTGTTGGTGATACCAGGGAAGAGTCTTGCAAAACCAAGAGCCTCGGTAGCAAACGCTGCAAAAGCGCCATGAGAGATGATTCCATGCGGATGATAACCAAAAATATACTTCCGGGTTGGGAGGAGAGGTTTTGACCGATGCAAGCGGGCCGGGAAATACGATGCATATATTGACCACACGCCGAGTGAACGTAAGAAGTCACACCTACCGCTCAAATCACCCGACGTGGCTGCCGTTGAAAAAAGGGATATATAGATAAGGTAAGGCAGTATGATAGGCCAGAACAAGGGGATTGCACACACGAAGAAAAATGCTGTTAACAGGATCGCTATGGTCAGAGTATGGCATAACACCACCAGAGTCTGTAAGCGCCGTTCGAGTCCAACATTGAGTGGGGCCCAACGGATACTAGAAGAGCGCTTGTTAGAGACCGAGACTCGAGGGGGAAATTTCGCATGGGATATCTACCTTGGCCCCCTTGACTCCTTCATGGTTTCTTGGGCTGCTTGGGGAGCAGTACCATCAGGCATTACGGACGACCTTGCCTTGTATGGCAAACTGGCTCGTTTCCAGAGCCCTTTGAGAGACCCTTCAGTAGCTGTAGGTTGTAGCGCTGCATTTTCCTGGCCAGATGGAACAAGGCCTGGTGGTGTATCGGAGGGCGACATCCGTTGACCGGATGCGTAGAAAATAGACCAGAGCGAGTCCGAGACACCGCTTCTGAAATATTTATCTCGAGTTGGATGATGAACACGTCAAAGGATCCGAACTTGTTTTGACTGGGCTTCAATTGTGGGCTTATCACCTGAGTACCAGGTAATGATTGATAGCCAAATAATTCGATAGCTCCCAAGACAGCGAATATATCCCAAAAGCCTTGAAGCTAGCGGCTAGAAGATGCAGATGCTTCGTCGAAGTGGTGAGACCGTGAGAGACTACGTAACGACTAGGTTGCTGCCAGGACGGGGTTGGTTTCTAGGTTGTGGGTCCGTGGGCAGGCACCTCACGTCATTTTCCCTTACTGTGTATACTAAGTAGCGACTAGTAGGACCAATAAGTACCAAGGTAACTGTTCAAATTGAATTGGCTATCTACTGTGTACTTCACAGTCACCTTAGCTTTGGTATATTTGTATCTTTGTAGCTGTTCTAACAGCCTGACAGCATCCCATAGAGAGAGGTTCAATTCTATCTATATATGTTTTATATGATTGATTATCAATGAAAAATGAGTACGTCCGGATAAGGGACGGATCGATAATCCTCCGTACATAGTATGCTATGCGCGTGCCATATTCCCGCTCCCTCCCTCCCTCCCTCCCACCCACTCTCCCTCTCCCGAAAAACCACAAAGAAGAAAAGGCCTGTACCTAGAATATTTAGGTTCTGGTGCAACATATTTTGCTTGATGCGAACCCTACGCCTTCATAATCTATAACGGCACAGCACTTGGCCTGATTCACCAAAGACTCCGATCTACCTATATGTATTACATGCAAGTATGAGTCGTGTCAAGGGCCGTTATGAACGATTGTAGGAAATGCTGAACCAAACCAGTAAGGAGTATATCTATGTCTATAAGTCTAGGGTATGTCATGAAAGAGATATATACGGCGCTATGATTTGACCATGAATATCTGTAAAACATTAGCTTCTGCGATCTGAAAATACAACACCAAAGTGTTCGGTTCTCACCTCGTTGAGAGACTTCTCGTCCATGAGAGCCGCTTTCTTCTGCGCAATATGTCGGCCTCTAAAAACATGTCTCCCCATCGGACGGCGCTCCCTCGACGGACCCTTAGAAGCTATTGAAGAGCTTTCTTCATCATCCTTTGTGGCTTTACTCTTTTCTTCTGCTGACTTCTTGTTCGTATCTCCGGAGTCGGTGGACTCAGGCCCGTCAGTGTGTTTCCTTTTTCTGTCCTTCTTCTCCTTATGGCTCTTGGATTTCGATTTTTTCTTCTTGGTGCTTTGGTGATCGCTTTGGTCTCCAACATTGCCTGAGCCCTCAACGCCATCAGAGCTCACTTGATCTTTGTCCGGCGCAGGTAACGTAGCAGAAAGTCCGTCCTCTTGCTTGTCTTTTTTGGTTCCTTGCGGCTCCTTAGTAACAATGGGGGTCATTTTTTCCTGAGCTAGCAAACCGCCACTTATGAATGTGACTGCTTGCCATTTCGTGGCAGCATATCGAGCCAGTTTTACGTTGTCGCGCTTCTGCTGCTCGACCTGCAAATCCGCGTCTGACTTGCCGTTTAGCCGGCCAAGAAGTCCCTTGAATGCATCAAGTCCAGTGGGCTCATTTAAAGGATCACGTTTAGGACGCGCCCCTAGGCCCAGCGTATCATCCTTCAGGACAACCTTGATATGAGATGCACTCGCTTGAGTAAACATTTCAGCATGTGCGGCATTGCGCGCCCCCAAGAAGCTCCCGGGTGTCCATCCTTGGGAGCTCAAGATCTTGTGTCCGAAACCGCTTGTTGACCGTGCCCAATTGGTATTATTGGGGTCATGGGAGATTTTAATTTTCCTAGGTCACTGCCTGGTCAGAACACCGCAAAGGTAGATAGTGGAGGACATAGAAATAATCCGTGAAAACATACTTGCGAGGTGCTGCAAGTCCCATTTGCTGCGATAGAGTATGGCAGCGATTTCAAGAATTCAACAAAGGAGTGAAAGTGCACTTCGGTTTCCACTGCCCTATTTCACCTTTTGGTAGGTAAATTGGATTCCTAGGATTCTCTGGCCCCTTTTCACGGACTTTTATTCTCCTTTCTGTCGCCAAAGATTATGCAAAATTGTGCGGATTCGTAAGATTGAGAGCAAGGATGGTAATTTAGGGGAGTAAAACAGAGAAGTCATGACATTGATAATGATCGAGAATGAAACCTGAAAAATTTCCTCCGACGGCCTACCGTGACCGCTTACTTTATTCGGTGACTGTAGACGGTCTCGACCCGGGGCAAATGGATACTGCGGGGTTCCTCCAAATTCACATCCGCAATCTCTCGAACAGATTCCGAAGTCACAAGTGTCACTAGGTGTCACTAGGTATCTCTGTCTTCTCAGTTGTTTAGAAGAAAGTCCGTCAAAGTTGCTGTCCGTATTATTTCGCTGAGACTCATGATATGTAGAACAGTATATGGTCTCCTGTAGCCACTGAATTCCGTTCTAGTCAGCTTTCATGGCAGACACCTGTTGGCTATTGCATCCGCTTCAGTATAGATTCTGCATTACCCACAAAGTAGGCAAAATTTGGTCCTAGAATACCGATGTAGTCTCAATGCAAAATTCGCATTATCGCTGTACCTCTCACAGCACTTCTTGCTAGCCCTCGCTCATGCAAACTAAAGACCGCGCCGCAACGTTGGTAGCAAGAGTGCCAAGCTTTGAGAGTGCCAACCGAAGCGTGTGCTGCAATCTGGACTTAAGTTGAGCGCTCCATCATGAGGACCGAGGAGGATCCAGTCATAAGTTAACAATGTCCGGGCTACGCATTTATACTCAAAATTATCCATATCGTACTATTGCATTAGCCACATCTGAATACGTACTTATCTTTCGCCATAGCTTGGCAGGAGCGGATGTCAACACTGCGTCTCATCTCAAGACTACGCCGCGCTGCTTGGTTGAATTTGCTCCCCTATCATCTGTGGATCTGAAAGGCTATAGGGTCATTGGTGATGGACATGGGACTCTCGGATTGGTTACACTAGATAATGAGGTTTTTCTCTGCGTGGTCACGGGCTCCTCCAAGGCCGCATCCATCAGGCCTGGAGAGACTGTCCTGAGAATACACAGTGTGGATTTCTGTAAGCCCCCCCCGCCCCCCAGTGGTCTCTGTTGGTCATCACTGTCGCGCAGAAATTGACCTTAAAGAGAAGTCTGCCTAAATCATTCGAAATACGATGACAGAGTTGACTACGAATTGGAGTCCTCCATCGCTGGTCAGGACCCCGACCATGACTTTAACTTTGAGAGCAAAGAGACGAATCCAGACTTTCCCTTCCTAGCTCTAAAGAAGCTTTTAAGTGACGGCAGCTTCTACTATAGCTGTGAGTTCAATCTAACTGATCGATTGCAGGACCGGTGAGTTAACCCCTTTCTGTCAAATGGCACCGTCACTAATGAACTCTAGCTCAGACGAAACGGGAATTTTTGACATAGAGTCTCTTGATCGAGACATGCTGTGGAATTCGTACATGATACACCCACTTCTCCTTTTTAGAAATCAGCTGTCTTCGGTTGAAAAGCAGCATCTCGACTCCTCTCAAATTCTGACGTGCGTCATACGGGGATACTGTGGGACATTGACTGTTCCTGCCTCTACTCAACTCTTGCCTGGTACCCGCAAAACGCACCTTCCGTCTTCATTAACAATAATATCGCGCCAGTCGTCTCGGCGTGCTGGTACGAGATTTAATTCCCGAGGCATCGATGACGATGGTCATGTCGCCAATTTCGTGGAAACAGAGACCATACTCTGGATTCCACCTGACATTGTTTTTTCCTATGTTCAGGTTCGTGGCTCAGTGCCTATATTCTGGGAGCAGGCCACAGGATTCCTTCCTGGTCAGCAAAAGATCGAGATAACCAGATCTGTTGAGGCAACAAAGCATGCCTTCGATAAACATTTCAGATCTCTTGAACTAGATTATGGAGCAATTCATGTGGTTAACCTTCTCAGTGAATTGAAGTCCGGTGAATATAGTCTCACGGCAAGGTTCCGGAACCACTTACAGAATAGCCCACTCAATAAGCATTCATCGGATCACACTCTGCTGCAGGTAACAGAGTTTGATTTCCATGCGGAAGCGCGAGGGCCATTGGGATATGGAGCTAGCTCTCAGATAAGGCAAGAAATCTTCGACTCTTTACAAGGATTCGCATATTTTCAATCCGGCGAAATTGGACCGGTAGCTCTATATGACAAGCACCATGCGTCAAGAAATGCACCTGTAATCCTGCAACAAGAGGGGGTTTTCAGAACAAATTGCCTGGATTGTCTCGACAGGACTAACCTAGTACAAACAATCATCAGTTCAATGGCGCTTGAAATATTCTTCAGTCAACAAGGAGGAACGATAAGCCCCGATTTGCAACTGCGCCACTCGACTCTCTGGGCAGATAATGGAGATGCGCTATCAAAAATGTACGCTGGAACCGGTGCTCTGAAAAGCTCATTCACAAGACACGGGAAAATGTCCATTGCTGGGGCACTCGCCGATGCGCGCAAAACAGCTACCCGGATCTATGTCAACAACTTCGCGGACAAGGCCCGTCAAAACACAATTGATCTTCTATTGGGACGGTTGACAGACCAAGTTCCAGTACATCTTTACGACCCGATCAATGATCTCGTGTTAGAGGAACTAAGTCAACGCTCTGAGGAATTTTCTTATTCTAAATCTGTCACGGTTTGGACGGGAACATTTAATGTCAATGGGCGCCATGAAGGACCCGATGGTGAATTGAGGGCATGGTTATTCCCAAAGTACGATTCTCAGGCCGAGGACCCCCTGATTTACGCCGTCGGTTTTCAAGAAATCGTCACGTTAAGTCCACAGCAGATAATGTCCACAGACCCTACCACCCGTAAGGCGTGGGAGATTGCAGTACACACCTGCCTCAACAAACGTGCAGAAGCCATGGGAACTCCCAAGTATGTCCTCTTGCGAAGTGGCCAACTTGTGGGCTCTGCTTTGATGATATATGCGAGAGAAGATGCTTTAAGCGATATTAAAAATGTTGAGGGAAACGTTAAAAAGGTATGAATCCTCAGTACTCTCTGAGACATTTCAGCTGACCCGCATAGACGGGTCTTTCGGGAATGGCTGGTAATAAAGGAGGCTGTGCCATCCGCTTTGAATATTCTAACACTCGACTTTGCTTCGTTACCGCCCATCTTGCTGCTGGCTTTGCGAACTACGACGA